AGGAAGCAATTTGCATAACATGGTTGAGTGGGAAGAATTAATTTAGCTCTAGATTAGTTATGGAATTAAGCTGGTTAGAATGCTAGCATATTCTATATTAGTCTGCCCTATGACTTAACCATTTAGTTAACAGGGTGGTCTGAACTGGCCCATAGTGAGTCTGTTATCTTTTCAAGATCCTTTCACTTCGTCTGTTATCAAGCCAGGTATGAGAGCCAGTTTGATTCAGTGTTTAAAGGCACTGGATTAATACGTAGGAGACCACGAGTTCTAGTTTCGCTTTAGGCATGAAACCTATTGGATGATTTTGAGTCAATTACCCTCTCTCAGCGCTAGGAAGGAGGAAGAAGGCAACCCCAAATTACTTCTAAAATTTTTCCGAAGAAAATTTTATGGACTTGTTCAGGCAACTTCCAGGAATAAAGATTGACTCAAAGGCAAAAAAAAAAAAAAGGGAAAGAAACCATTCAGCCCGCCCTTCTACTTTTGATTTTCTTTTCCTCAGTGACAGTCTTTTTATTTGTCTCTGTTAAACATTATTCAGGTAATTTGACAACTCCTGATATGGAGAGATTTGCATGTATCCACTGACATACATACAGAAGTGTTTGTAACATGGCTGGATTGACAGGATTGTCAACAGGGAAGAAATTGTTATGAAGGGCTGGAGGGATTTGTATGAATCTTCAACTCTAAGCTTGATTTGCATCATGTTATGCAGTGTTTATATAACATATTTAACCTGGTTACTGAATAAATCTGTTTTCTAAGGAATAAAGGAATTTAAGAGCATATTGTGTGAATAGTCAGTTCTCATGGAGGGATATGTAACTTCTTTAAACCGGGATGACTTAATGAAAATGAAGAGTATTTTGCTATCCTAGATTACAAAGAGATAATTCTAGACCATTTAGCTAGCTTTAAAACAGATTTTTTCTCTCTCCTGTGATGAACAAATGTGTCTGAAAGCGCCTTCAATGTTTTTTTAAACTTAACAAACATAATATATTTGAAAACGTTATCTTAAATATCTGATGAACAACAGTGTTTCTTGGGAGCCATGCAAATATCTGAATCAGTACACACAACTCTTTCAGCATTGATATTCTATGAATGAATGAATGTTCTTGATTGATTCTGTAAGCAAAGATGCTAAATAGCATTGAGCTCTTGTAGGCACTACAACGTCAGCTATTATACTGTATATTGATTACATCCTTACCCTTTTATTCACGCAAACTTTATGAACTTATGTGCAATTTTGCAGTCAAATGGATGCTGACTGAGATATCAAGAGTATTATGTTCTGATGACATATACTGCTCAGTTGCATGTGTTACAGCTCCTTGAAAACATGTATTTCTGATATTCAATTTGAGCTGAATTGACTTGACTCCAAAAAGTCAGTCACAACGTAAATTTGAACTTATGACTGCCCCCTTCCCCACAGTCATGTGATCGCAAATCAAGTCAGTTGTACCATTCCATGGTCCGGCAAAAAACACCATTGGTTAATCTGGATTCACACTTTTGACTGATTTTACTTATGACCATTAAAAATGGTAGTAAAGTTGGGTCTGGTCACAGACTTCACAGATACAATTGTAAAATGTATTCAGATAAAAGCATACCCAAAATTCTTTACATGGGTGGGAAATAAGTGGCTTTTCAGATGCCACTGAACCAGAACTGCCAGAATATTTCACCATGCTTGTAATTCAGCAACATAGCAAGGCCATTGGTTCCTGAAGATATGTCTTCCTTAGATTAGTTCTATGTGCTAATTGTACAGCAGTCTCTTAAATCAAATGAAGATGTTGGACTCAGGGCTTGCATTCACACATTCCTCCTAATTATTATGCTACTTCTCTTGCATGCAAAGGACTGTTTGCTTGTACTTGTGAGTTGGCTACATTGGCCTACAAATCCCAGAATGTCTCACCATGCATTGCAGACCAACAAAACTAAAGAGTCCCAGGTAGGACAATGTTGGCTTGTTTTTAAACAATGTTTTAATCAAGTTTCTAGTCGATATCAGCATGTATCTGAGATGAATTAGTCTTTGCTTAACAACCAAAATTGGGCCTGACAACTGTCACCAAATGATACAATCATTAAGCAAGATATCACATAACCACAATGGCCTTACCTCAGTTCCATTGCAATAGTTAAGGGAATCACTCATGGTTGTTAAGTAAGACACGTGACCACAACTTGCGCTTTTACTGTCAGCTTCTCCATCGATTCTGCTTGTCAGCTGTGAAAGGCACAAATGTCAATTATGACCACAGGACACTATGACAGTCATTAAACACCACCGGTTCTGAAGTGCTGGAATCATGTTCACATGGCTATGGGGATGCTGCAGTTGTTAAGTGTGAGGGCCAGTCATAAACATGCTTTTTCAGTACCAGAATAAATTTCAAGCCATCGCTAAACACAGGGCAGTTGCAAGGACTACCTGTACAGTTCAGTATTTTTACATTCAGAATACAGGACATCTTTTAAAAAAAAAATAACCACAGAGAAAGCAAAGTTATTCATTTATACTAAAAAGAGGAGAAAGAGGCCAGGAGATGGAAGGGTTGCTAGAGGAAATGATGGGCTAGCTAACTCCTTTAAACAGAAGGAAAAAATTAACCCATCAGCCTGTAAATGATTAGCGCAAGAGAAAAATACTTGTCACAAGCTGCCTCCTTGTGTTCATCCACAGGGAGAATTCTAGGCAGTTTCCTGAGAGAAGGGAAATTAGGGGTTGGAGAAGACAAATTTCACCTACTTAGCTTCTCTTGATTACAGAGTCCATAGCCAGGAATACCTGCACTTTGACACAGTGTTGTATTCTCTTAAACCTTACAATCTCACATGACTTCTGTTGCAATTTTCTGAATTCACATCCTGTTTACTGGTTCCTGTTTGCTCATGCATATTCTCCAGGTTTTACTACATCTCCTTGCCTTCCATGACACAAGGAATCATTTCTTGCCTTTTGCAGCTGTGCCTTCCTACATACAATAAAATTATGCATCCAATAACATTTGTGTATATTCTCTGCTTTTCCAAGGCATTTGTTTTCATTAAAGACTATCTGAGCCTAAGTAAAATAAAGGACAATTTCTTCTGAGTCAAACCACTAGTCTATTTTGGGACAATGTTAATTATAGTTGATGATCTCCTATGGTCTCCTATGTTTCAGAAAATGAAACTTTCTAAACTTTTCTTGAAATGTTGTAGATTGAAATGCATATTATTGGCATATAAAACATACTGAAACCTTTTCATCAATCCCACCCTCTTTAGTTAATCTGGTCAAGATTTAATAGGCATAGACCAAAGCGTAATTAATACTATTCTCCTGAGCCAACTAATGTTCAAACTTCTGTTGATTTCTGAGATGCATAAAATTCTTTCCTAGACACACCCTGTCAAAATATTATACTGTATTTTTTGAACAATTCCATAGTAAAGCTATTCTAACACATTTTTTTCATAAGACAAACATCTAAGAATGAACTGTATTGATTTGACCAACAACTTAATTCCTGCACACCATAGTAGAAAAGTTTCCATTTCAAATGTCTGAATGATATAAAAAGTGTACAAGTCAAACAGATATTTCTACTGGCTAATTCTGAAAGAGTTTCATCCAGCAGCAAAAGTTAAAAGTATTTGCAAGTTAAAAATGGTAGAAAATTTGTGTGTCACCTGAAAACATTGTATGAGATTGGCAGCCATTTAACTTTGTAAATAAATAAATATGTGTGTTTCCTATGTTACTAATGAAATCAAAACTAAAAATGCAGGCATCTGTATAGTTCTGTAAAGGAAATTAAACAACTAAACACTCATTTTTTATGTTAGCATGTTAACGGTATTTTTTCCTTTTTGTTTTTTTTTATGTGGTGGTTAAGGCATAAGGCTAGAAACTGGGAGATGATGAATTCTAGTCTACTTTAGACATGAAGCTAGCTAAGTGATTTTGAGCCAGTCACTCTCTCTTAGCCCTAGGAAGGAGGCAATGGGAAGCTACTTCCAAAATACTGCCAACCAGTTCAAGGACCTATCCAGGTAGTTACCAAGCATTAAAAAAACTGACTCAAAGACGCACAAGCACACACACACATTCACAAATGTGTGTCTTGTAAAAGAAGCACATTTGAGCATACAATCAATACTGTTAGTTAGTTATCCACAGGTACAATTGCAATTCACGTTAACCAAATACCAGCCAGTTAATTAGCCAAGCTATTGTTGCTAGATTTTTTTTTTTGTTTCTTTTTTATGGGGACTTATGAGTGGCATATATAAGTGAAAATATATAATCTGCATACTTTTTACATTTGTGTTTGTTTCATGCTTTTAAACATATTTTGTTTCAGTTGCATGTGGAGGCTTTCTTTTTGTACGTTATTTTTTTTTTGTAAACTATTTCTGATGAAAAGCAGTAGAGAAACATTTTAAAGGATGCAAATATTATTTTAAGAAGTAAAGAATCAGCATCCTATAGAACAGGGGTCCTGCACAGCTGGCTGGAGATTCTGGGAGTTGAAGTCCACAAAGTATTAAAGTTGCCAAGTTTGGAGACCTCTGATATAGAACATTCTGCCCAATTCGAACATTTATCAAATGTGTAAATATTCAACTCCCAGGACTTTCCACAATGCCTATGCTAACTAGAAAACTGTATGTTCATTTTATCAAATTTTGCTATGTATACGTTTTAATCTGTACAGCTAATCCTCAACTTACAACAGTTCATTTAGTGACCAAAGTTACAATGGCACTGAAAAAGTGACTTGTGACCTTTTTTCACATTTATGACCTTTGCAGCATCCCCACGATCACGTGATTTACATTCGGATGTTTGACAACTGGTTCATATTTATGACCATTGCTGTGTCCCTAGGTCATGGGATCACCTTTTCCAACCTTCTGACAAGCACAGCCAATTGAGAAGCGAGATTCACTTAACAACCATGTTACTAACTTAACAACTGCAGGGATTCACTTAACAAATGTGGCAAGAAAAGTCGCAAAATGGGGTAAAACTCACTTAACAACAAACCTGTCACTTAGCAACATAATTTCTTGGCTCAGTTGTGGTCATAAGTCGAGGACTACCTGTAATTGATACAAAAACCTGGCTGAACGTAAGCAAGGCTCTGTTTGATTAGCCCTTGGATGGAAAATTGCTAAAGAACTCTCAAGTTCCATGACGATGGGTGTCATGGATAGAATTAGATTTGGACGGCAATGCCTGCGTTCAAATACAGACTCACTCATGCAGTTTACTCTGTGACAGTGGGATAAGTTACTAATTTACCTAATGTATTTCATAAAGTCTTTTGTGAGGTCTGGGATTAGATTAAATGTGAAAAAAAGAGCCTGGATATGTCACCAATATAACACTGCCATATCAATGAAAAAAAAATGTAGTAATTCTCAATCAGAAAGACTCAATCTCATATTTTTAATAAGTTTTTTTCCATGATCTAATATACAAGTGCAAAGGTAATAAAGTGCTCTTCTGGTGCAAACTTGGATGAAATATATTAAAGTCAGCTTTTTGTATTTTGTGTAAATAATCTGCAACAGCAACCTGGAAAGAAAGAAGATATAATAATTATTATAACATATAAGCAATATATCAAACATACTATAAGCAATGAAATATATAAACAATAATTATTGTTATCACTGCTATAACAATAATACCAAGATATTAATGGCAAATGGACAACTGATTTATTGGTCACCATGTCATGCTAGTAGCAGTAAGAGGCTCACATGAAATCCATATTTACTTTTCAGATAGAAATGTTGGAAGTTAAAACCCACCCCTCTCCTAGGAAAATGAAATATTTTAGGATATACTAAAAAGGCAGAATATTTCCCCTAAAAAGAAAAGTAGAAACTCAGAGGCAGAAACTCAGCCCCCCACCTTTGCTATTGGACCATTACTCTAGCCTGGGCCAGTCTATTTTACATATCAAAGATCTACTCCAGGTAGAGCTATAATAGGAATTGCCCAAAGCCCTTTCATTGCATCATCATCCAGCAAGGCTCAACCAAGCCTGGGACTCAGGACAGCCCACAGAGTTGCCCTTACATGGCCCCATGGGAGTCTGACAACCAGTCAGAATAGAAGCTCAAATTCAAATCCCAACAGAGGGCATAAAACCCAGGGACTCTCAGCATCTCTGCCCTTTTTTCACCCAGAAACTCCCAGGCATGTCCACCATTAAACCATCTTCCCAAGCAGTCACCATGTTTCCACTGACTTTTTCCCCACTTGGAACTGAACCCAGAAGGATATTTCTTCCAACAGAAATTTTAAATTTCACTCTGTACAGTAGAAAGCATAACTGACAAACACAAACTGGCTGCAAATAGTTCTCAACTTACAACTACAATCGAGCCCCAAATTGTTGTTGCTAAGGGAAACATTTGTTAAATGATTTTGCTTCATTTTACAACCTTTCCTGCTACAGTTGTTAAGTGAATCACTGCAGTGGTTAAATTAGTGACACAGTCGTTAAGAACTTCCCCATTGACTTTGCTTGTCAGAAGGTCTCAAAAAGTGACTACATGACCCCCAGAAACTGCAATCATCATAAATGTGAGTCAGTTACCAAGCATCTGATCATGTGACCATGGGGATGCTGTAATGGTTGTAAGTGAAAAATGAGTCACTTTTTTCAGTGCTGTTGTAACTTTGAACAGTCACTAAATGAACTGTTAAGTTGAGGACTGCCAAAATGAAGTTTCTGATACATTTAACATAGTTATTTTACTTGGGAAGAAAAGTTCAACCTTGCTTCCTAATGAGAAGCCAGATGGCAAAATTTGATCCTATCTATATTGTTGCAACACCACAACATCAGGGGTGGGATTCTACCAGTTTGGACCAGTTCAGGCGAATCGGATGCTAAATTTGCAACTGGTTTGCCAAACCGGTATTTGAACCAATGGGCTGGCCCCGCCCACCCCGCTTAGGAGCTTCCACATGGCCCATTTTAGATGCAGATAAGTGCAGGGTCCACACAGAGGCTCTGGGAGGGGGAAAAACGAGACTTCTGGAAGTTGGGAAATGGGCCTGTTTCCGGCTTCCGGAGGGACCCCAGAGCCAGGGCGAGGCAGTTTTCGCCCTCCCAGAGACCCAAGGGAAGCCTCTGGACCCTTGGGAAGGCGAAAAATGACCCTCCCAGAAGTTCCAGTAGGCCACGCCCACCCAGCAACTGGGAAGCAAACCGGTTGCTGGGACTTTTGAATCCCACCCCTGCACAACCTCCCTCATAAACATTGGAGGCCCAAAAAATAGTTTTGGGGAAAGGATTCCCATCTCAACTTTAGACAATTTGTTCCACCAAAAGAAATCACAACCATATTAACTGTACTCTAAAAAAAAAATCCCAATCTACATTGTGTTTGTGTTAATACATCATTAATTATGTTAAAATGACACAGTATTTACCAGAACACTTGATTAAATCAAATGTTATCAAAGAAAAGCCGAAGGGGATAGGTGAGTAAGCAAGATTATCTGAAAATGTGTCTAGACATTTGCCATAAGGCTTTGTAGTTTAGACACAGTCTCAGAATGGTGTTTGAAGGCTGACTGCCGTTATCACAATTTTTGGTGAAGTTAAAAAAAAATACAGCCACTTACCGTACAAAGGAAAGCAGGAAATGCTTTGGCAGGGACATTCTTCTTGAAGGACCTAGCCTGGAAAGAGACAAAAGGATGCATTTAAAATGAAGGAATGTATCATGATTTGGGTTCTGGGATGAAATGGTAAATTACTACTCTACTAAAACAAGGGTCTCCAAACTTGGCAAGTTTAAGACTTGTGGACTTCAACTCCCAGAATTCCTCAGCTAACATGACTGGAGGAGGAATTCTGGGAGTTGAAGTCCACAAGTCTTAAAGCTGTTAAGTTTGAAGACCCCTGTACTAAAGGAAGAAAAGAGTTAACTGGGCATGTTCATACACACTTCAAAGCTAAGACAAAGTGGGAAACAGAGATGTGAGTAGAGACAGCTGGCAGTTAGATTTTAAAAGAGAAAGAAAAGCAGATAAATAGTGGATAGGAAAGGACAGGACTGATGTTTCTAGTGCCAGTGGAAAAGATGACTTTAAAAAATCATTACACAGAGATTATATGTTCATAGAAGGTTATTGTTAAAATTGTAATTGTTTTTAAAGTCTTGGCTGTCTGGGTGTACACTGTATAATAACTGTCCCCATCCCACATGTCTTAACCCTAAATAGAAAATACCTTATAAAAAGAAAACTCTTTTAAGAAATGTTCAGCATTTGGAAAATTATGGGTGGTTCTTGACTTATGGCTATTCATTTCAAGTTATGATGGCTCTGAAAAAATGATTTATGACTGGTTCTCACACTTATGACCATCAGTGTTCCCACACTCATGTGGTCAAAATTCAGGCGCTTGGCAACTGGCATGTATTCATGAGAGCTATAGGACACCAGGATCATATGACAGGCCTTTGCGATCCAAGGAGGCTTCTGACAAGTGGTCAACAGGCCAAGCAGATTGGTTAATAACCATAATTCACTTAATGACCATGGCAAAAAATAATAATAAAACTGGATGCAACGCACTTAACAACCCATTGCTTGGCAACAGAATTTCTGATCGTACATTGAGAGCTATGGGTATTGCATTGGGTATCAAAAATCTGGATTAGCTATAAACTTCGTCATTTCTGATATATTGCAAATCAGAAGAATGTTTATTTTGAAAGACAAAATAAGAGCATCAGATTATGAAAAAAGGATAAGAGTATTGTTGAGAAATATCCTCCTACTCTGGTCTGGTAATTGCCTGTGACAATGAGAAACGGGACCACAAAACTCCTTCCTTCCTCCCTCACCTGTGAATCGTATCTTTTCACTTCCCTATCAAAAGCAACACTCTTCACTATTAGCATAGCTGGCAAATCAGGGATAGAACAATTAGGGTGATGGGTCATCAACAGTGCTATTTCATTCCAATTTGTGACATATACATCAGCACAGAATCTGGCCTGGAACTTCCTACTCAGAGTTTAACTTTGAACTGATCATGACAAGAAAGTTTTCCTTCTTTTTAACTTGGTTTCACTTCCCAAAGCATAAAGACATTTCACAATGCCACACACAGAAAGGAAGCCAGCTTCTGTTCTTACTCAGAGTTTTGCTCCTCTGTTACTTTCCTCACTTTCTCGTACCCTTTGCGCAAGTTGGAGGCATCCCCACAGCTTTAGTTTTTTTATCCTAATGAATCAACAGAGCCACAAAACCAAACAGAGTAACTGCAGTAATTCTGCTCTGCTTTCTTCTCTTTTCCAGGTATGATAGAAGTCAGAAAGTATATACTACTTTATAGAACTGCAGAGATTATGTCTATGCAAATTGCATGATTCCCTTAAGAACTGCAGTGATTTGTTTAACAATTGTGGCAAAAAAGTCATAAAATGAAGCATAACTCACTTAACAGCTGCCTTGCTTAGCAACAGAAATTTATAGCATCAACTGTAGTCCTAAACTGAAGACAGGAAATCCTAAACTTATGCTGAGTGATTGATCCAATTTTATAACCTTTTCTTGAGGCAACTGTTAAGTGAACACAGCAATCACATGACCGTATGGCCACAAATGCAGGCCAGTTGCCAAGCAACCAAAATGCTGTTATGTAAAGGGGAGCAGCCATCAGAACTTCACAACTAGGCCATCAGAACCATGGGGGGGGGGGTCCTTTGTAACTTCAAATGGTTGCTAAGTGAGCAACTTAAGTCATGGCCTACCTGTATATCACAAGCTCCTGCTTTTGAGCAACCGAGAAATGAAATATTGGACCAAAATGAATCTTTCCTGATCTACAGAGTTCTTATGCTATCTATCACCAGAAAGACAAGCCCTCCATCACCCCCAAATTCGAAGTATTACATTAGGCATGGAAGGCAGAGGAAAAGGGAGAAACAAAACATTAGCAGGAATTATATTTATCAAGGCTACATACAGTTTTGGCATAACATTAAATAATTTATGTAATTTTAAAATAAGATGGATTTCGCCCTCTGTTGGCCATTTGAGAATATGCTTCTAACAACTGCTTGTAATTCCAGTAGTTGCAACATTCATTTACATTATACTAATCAATAATTGCATATCTAATTCATACTTTCTCCATATTAGTTGTCATGCTTTCTTCTTAAGTCTATGTGAAATCTAAACACACCACACATGCTCCAAAATGTAAACACATTTTATAAATGCTATTTCCCAAATCTTTGCCAGTATTTTCCCCAATATATACACAATTTCTCTTATGTACACTTTTTCACTGGAGGATCAAACAGCTGCTTTGCAGCTATTGTTCTGCTATGCTAGGGATCTGTCCAGCAGCATTAAAAATGCAATCTTTGTATGGCCGAGCTCCCATCAAAGAGGGAACAAAGTAAACAAAAAAAGCATTACTGTCAATATTATTTCTAACAGTCTGGACAGGAAACACTTATTCCAAAGAACCAGTATCACAGAACTCTAAACACTAATATTTATAAAAAGAAAGCTTAAAGTTAGAACTCAAAAATTCCAGCATCAGCTTTATATTCAAAAAGGCACAAATATACAGACAATTAAGGGTAACAAAACCTTATCTCTTTTCTCATGTCCAACCAGAAGAAGCCAGTTCTTTTTTAAATGTAAGGTTCCTGGCATCAAATCATTTGTACACCTTAAATTATCCAGATTCCACCATGGCTTACATCAACCTTCCCCAATATGGTAAGTGTACTACTACCAGCCCAATACGTCCACTATCCACTGCTGGAGAGGAATTCTGTCCTCATATATTTGGAGAGCTCTGGTCTACAATATTGTTAATGAAATTTTGATAAAAATTCAGAAACTCACGTGTTCCAGATGAACATGGGCTTGACTTGCAATGTCATATACAATATCTTTTATTTTCTTCGCCTCATTGTTTCTTATGAAATCCTCTTGTGAAACACCATGCTGCCATACACGGAAGGAAAATGGGAACAAATTTTGAATGTTCCTGGGAAATACACTGGAAGAATATACTATTGTTTTGAAGCTATATTGCATGGATGGGCATGTTACATGCTATATAATGTGATATCTTTTGAAGTCCTAAGGATAGTTCAGAAAGTGTAATCTTACATTTATGTTAACAGAAAATTCCACAGTACTTTCTCCTCATAAAACACTGCTTGGTTTTAGGAAGGTTTTACAATAGCCTTTGCCAGTCTTTGACAAAGAATTAGCAGTGATACATCTGAACACATCTAAATAGCAGCAAAGTGGGGAAGGCAAAAAAAAAAGCATCATGTCACTGAATCAATAAAACATGAAAGGAATGAATTAATGGTTTAATGCTTCTCTCAGTAACAAAAAAATATGAATGAGGTAAATATTACATTAAAGCAAGGGGATGAAAAGCTCCACTACATTAATTTACGGATAAGAAACATAAATACCAGCTAAAGTTTGGGTAGTCTTGCTCCTCCTTATACCTATTACACATTTGGGCAGCAGGTATGCAGCTTCCAGTACCATTTTGGGATGCTTCAGAGCCTCCCCAAATTATGAGAAATATAATCGGAATATAGGTGCACTAATTTTGAATCATTTCAACAATACCCAACCTCTCTCTCCCTCCCTGCTTCCCTCTCACACACATGGAGAGAGATAAACTTTGTTTAGCCCTGAGGCCTTAGTATAGTAACCATGTCACTGCCAAATGCCTTCTGGTCTTCAGCAACTGCATACAGCAGCAACTGTTTGAATTTATTGTCAGTACTGAACAAATGGTAGCTATCCTCGTTCACAAAGTTGTACACACACACCCCCGCAGCACATCCAAACTCATATGTTACTTCGCAATCCACCTCTACTTTCGACCATAGGGGTGCTTCAACTCCCCTCACCCATTTTCTCCCCCCACAGGTCTGCTCTTTTGGCTACCCTGCACTCCACTGGCCCTGTCACCCCCATTTTCTTTCTCCCACTGCTGATGAGCTGTGCCCAGTCTGGCCTTCACGAGGCAGCTGTTGGCTTCTCCACAAGGCCACATGGTCCAAATCCCACACAGCCTTCTTGTGGGGCTCTGGAAGGCAGAGCCCAGGGCAGCTGGGTGAGTGGAGAAAAGGGCTGGCAGAAGTGGCAGGGTGCCACGTGGCGAAAAGGGCAGAGGAGCAGAGGAGATGTGCAGGTGGGGGAAATTGAAGAGGAGGCAGAGGAGACAGTCTTTCATTTTACCAGGGTTGGGAGGAAGGAACCTGGGAATGGTTTGGACTGGGGTGGATCCTCACCTAATGATCAGGTGGGATCTGATTAACAGTGGCAACGGGGAGTGCCAGGATGACTGTCACTAAGCAATGCAGTTATATTTTGTCATGGTTTAGAACTGCAATTGCTTAGCAACAAAATTCTAACCCCAGTTATCGTTGCAGTTAACCAAGGGCTACATGAATGCATAAAAATAAATGAAAATACAGGCACGAAGTTTTTAAGCGTTGTAAGCAGAAAGAACATGTATGCGTCATTTTTTGATATGGAGGTCAACAAATGAAGTGGAATGTCAGGGCAAGGTTTTTAGGCATCTAATAAGACAATAATGATAAGGTGTTTTAAAGATTAGATTTCAAATGATCCAATAATTTCCCATCTAGTAATCTTATTCCCAAAACAAAATATAAGTCATATAAGTACAAGCACTTCCAATGAAGGACCAATTCTGAAACACTATTAAAAATAGAAATGATACACAACTGTCAGCAGAATTTGCACGTTGCTACATGAACTATCGACATGACATCAAGAGTATTAATATTGTCACAAACTGGATCTCAGCTTTACCATCTTACCAGCATGCAAATATCCATGGGGAGAAACACCTTCCTTCTGCTAGCATGGTATGGAGTTGCCCTTAAACACGTTACAATGCCTTGTGCTTTTCCTATGTGACTAGCTGCGTGGTCTGCGTGGATGTTCCTCACACCTGTAAATGCAGAAAAGATCATCCTGAAGCAGGGGTTTACAACTTTGGTAACTTTAAGCCTGGAGGACTTCAACTCCCAGAATTCCCCAGCCAGCAAATGCGTAAAGTTACCACGGTTGGAGACCCCCGGCCTAACAGATGCTTATTGAAATGGCAAGGCAACAAAATCTAGTCAGAACTGATAGGTAAGACATTGTCAAAAGAACAATATAAAAATGCAAACAATATACTTGGGTTTTCTACATTTGTCAGATGATTACACACAGAAGATGGGCGGGGAGGTAAGGAGAGGGGGAGAGAGAGAGAGAGAGAGAGAGAGAGGAAGGAAGGAAGGAAGGAAGGAAGGAAGGAAGGAAGGAAGGAAGGAAGAAAGAAAGAAAGAAAGAAAGAAAGAAAGAAAGAAAGAAAGAAAGAGAATTATTTATTGGCCAAATGTGATTGGACACACAAGGAATTTGTCTTGGTGCAAACTTCATATTATTGGGGAGTGGAAAAAAGAACTCTGCCTTTTACTGGCCAACTGTAGTCTAAGCCGTACATATCACAACTGCATCCATTAACACAGCTACACTATAAGAAAATGCAATCACATAGTAGGCATGAGCAAAAATTACAGGTAGACTTACAACCATTCATTCAGTGGCAGTTACAACGCAGTGCAACTAATGACTGCTTTTCACAGTTACAACCACTGCAGCACCTCCATGGTCAAGTGATCAACGTTCAGGCATTTTAGCAACTGACCCGCTTATGACAGTAGCATTATCCCAGGGTCATATGAGCCCCTTTTTGCAACCTCCTGACAAGCAAGGTCAATGGAGAAGCCAGATGCACTTAACAACCATGTCACTTCACTTAACAACCGTGGGAAGAAAGGTTGTAAAACTGGGGCAAAATCAATTAACAATTGTCTTGATTGGCAACTATTTTTTTTTGACTTAATTGTGTTCATAAATCAAAGACTACCTGTATTATGGCAAGTGCCAGAGGAGTCAAGAGAGCACCTACCAAGTGTTTCTAGGGTGAGATAAAGGAGTGCGCTCTGTGTATTTTCAGCATAGGTCTCAAGTTCACTGATATCCCGATAAGCCCGGTCATCCAGATTCTTTTCCTGTGCGGTTGAAAACAGAGGGAAAGTATATATGGAAACAACCAATCACTGAGGTTAACTTAAAAAATAGAAGGATGTCACTTTTATTAAAAGAAAACATTATCTTCTGAGTTAGGGACATTAGAATACTTTTTCTCCTAAACTAACTCCCTGTCTGGGTTCCTTTATTTTAAAAAAGAGGAGAAAAATAGGAAAAGAAAAAAACAGAAGGGGGGGAAGGAGTTGCTAAGCATTGAGAACAAAGGACGTCTTAATCTTTACTAGAAGCATATAATAATTTGTAGATGATGCTTTACCTCTGCAAATTTTCTTCTTAGCTAGAAAGAACACAGGTCTCCTTTATGTATAGTCACTGTAAATAGAAGAGCCTTGGAAACTGATCCTATTATACAGTTAATTATGTACCTCTGAAACAACTGGAATCAGCTAATGGAAAGAGGTAGTATCTAGCTGCCTGCTAATGTAATGATTAAATAGCTCAAGGTAATGCTAGATGCTTTTTGAAAGCCAATCAAATTGAAAATAAAAGGAATATTTAGGTTGATAGCCAAAATATCAAGACAGAAGATCACAATGCCTCTACTGTGCAGACTGTATCTTCCACTGAGCTCTGTTATTAAACAGGTTAATCAGTTTATTTACTTGTTATTTATTAATATAAAACCAATAAACATTTCTCAATAGCCACTTGCATAATCTCTAGACTAGAGGGAGTAAAATCGTGGCATTTATGCAGCTTCCTAAATATCAATCCAACATACCTACTCTACCCTTTCATAATACATAACATCTTATACGGAAACTGAATTAAAATAATCAGGGGAGAAAAATACAGTAATAACAATAACCTGCATTCATTTTGATGTTTCAATATTTTGTTCATACTGCAGTTTAATCTATATTACCTTTATAAAATATTTAAAAATATATCCCTAATGCAAGCATCTTATAGACTCTTACAATACAATAAACACTTCAGGACATTTTTCAGCCTTTCAAATTAAACATTCTCCCACAGTGGTTGCAATTGCATCTTTACCATGACATACAGTCATATTCTTTTGAAAAAAATATATAAAGAAAGCTTACAGAAGCTGCTATACATGCTCTACATGTCTATGGGTTCTATATTAAATGTCATGGCTCATTTCAAATAGTTCTGGAGATTGTTATTGCAAAAAGACACTAAGTATTCTATTACAAAAACATAACCCTCAACACAGAATTCAGTTACAAGAACTTTATCTTTATTCAAGTTATTCAAGAATACTGGAAGGGGGGGTGGGGGGGGTGGTTCCCAAAGCTGAAGAAGCTTCTTGGATGAGAAGCAAAACGTCTTCAAAGAAAAACCAGAAAGTCCAGTTGCCTCTTGATAAAAAGCACCTTTGGGATAACCAGGACCTGGATGACTGAGAATCTCCCCAGACATTATTTTTGTGGGGGGGAGGATTATTTTTGTTTTTTGAAAATAACGTAAAACTTACCCTTTGGTCAATAATATTCATTAGCCATCTTTTGGTCAGGTTTTGCCTCCTAACAGCCTAAGATCAGATGAATAGGATATACTTATGTAGAAAACAAGAAGAATTCAAGAAATCAAACGAAGATAATCACCGCTGCTGCCTTATATTAAAAGCTTACAGATTTTACAGATTAAGAGAGCTGGAAGGGATCTTGTAGGTCGTCTAGTCCAACCCTCCCTCCCAAGCAGGAGACCCTACCCCATTTCTGACAAATGGCAGTCCAATCTCTTACTTAATCTAACATTCCATTTTCAACAGTCAGCAACCGGATGCTGTAGGATATTGAAATGATAATTAAGAGAGAAGAGGTGCAGCTTTTGAAAGTAAATAGATAAATAAATGCAGTGAAAGATATATTGCTATCCTGGCTGGGCTACAGGGCTGTAACATCTCTTTCAACATGTGAAATCCAAATCACCTCTCTCTGAATCTTAAAAACAGCCATGTCTTATTATAGCAGGGGCCTCGGAGTGCAAGGTGGTGAAGGCAACTGCAGCCGGGACAAGTCTATGGTGGCTTCTAGAAGCGGCTGTGGCTTTGTGCACCTCCAAAACCACAGCATGTCAAGTTGCCTGTGAGTTGCAGGGAAGCAATTTGTCCAGAGGCACATGGCCCTGGAAATGCTTATTGCTCTGTAGCGCAGGGTGCAGAATGACCAAACTGGCCGATGGGAGAGAACGAACAGTTGGGGGAACTGAAGGGAGGCAATCCCTTACCTTGGAACAACCAAAGCTCAGGACCTGGAGGGATCAAGCCCAGAATGGCTTTGCCAAAGGCTGGTGGAATTCAGTTATAACATGTGACCTCATGTTTTACAACTGCATCGTTTAATGACAGAAATTCCACTCCCAATTACAACCATAACTCAAGGATTACCTGTAAGGATTACCTGTAAATCGCTGGTCTGAACTGATCTGCAAAGCAACTAGTACCTTCTTAAATGTGAGGTCACTAGCAATTAAGTTGAAGATCTGCAACTATTTTAACAAAAAGAGGATTTTAATCCTAGGAATCATTACAGATTTGTGGATTATAAAAATACAAGTAAAATTGGAATGCACAGCTGTAACTGGTAACTGAATAAGTGAAGGTTATATTCAGGAAAACTTTTATATGAAACTCTATTTTACTGTTGTGAAGCAAGGCAGGTGGTTCTAATTTATATGGGGACCAAAGGACAGGCAACTTCCTCTGAAAAACCTGAAGGTCATTGTGGAAAAGATTAGGCAATTTATCAGAACATTTTGCATTATTTGTTTACTTTCCAAGGAAAGAGGGCATCATTTGCACCAGAGTGCCCATTTGCCTCTCCCCACATCTTCCTGATAAAGGGTCACACCCAAGTATCTACCCTACAGCACAGAAGATATTTTTCCATTTCCTGAATTAAATTTTTCCATTATCTTAACTCCAATACTTTTCAAGCCAGTTGATAAAAACTTTCCAAGAGCATTTCCCACAAATATAAAAGCACTATAATTACAAACAATCTTAAATGTAAAGGCTATGTTATACCAAACATTTGACCCGCCCCCATCCTATACTGCTGACCAACACTGACAAAACTTGGGTGCGTGGGGTTCTTTTGCCACTGTGGGATGGAAAATACAGAAACATATATTAATATGAAGCTAAAATAGGCTAATGTAATTTATAACCCAGAGAACACCCCATCAAGAAAGAAAGAAAGAAAGAAAGAAAGAAAGAAAGAAAGAAAGAAAGAAAGAAAGAAAGAAAGAAAGAAAGAAAGAAAGAAAGAAAGAA